TCGAAAAAACGAAAAAATATCTAAAAACTGTAAATAGAATAAAATTATATAGTTTAAAATACGAAAAATTTTAAATTGAAAACTCGAAAAATTGCAAAACATAAAATCGTTAAGTTCGAAAAACTACGGAATAAAAAATGAAAGACTAAAAAATCGAATCACATCTAATTTGAAAATCGGAAAAATTGTAAAATTCAAAACGGGAAAACTGAAAAATCGAAAACTGAAGAAATCAAAGCTAAAAATCTAAAAATTGAAAATTTAAAAATCAAAAACTGAAGAAACGAAAATGAATTATCCGTTTTTTCCCGTCTCAATATTTGGATATCTCAATTTTTTTATTTTTAAACTTTTCAATTTTTCAGTGTTTTATTTTCTCGATTTTAATTACTTGTTTTTTAAATTTCCCGTGTCTTCAATTTTTCAATTTCTTAACTATACAGTTTTACAATCTACACTTTTTCGATGTCTCTGTCTTCCGATCTTTTTTTTTTAATTTTTCAAAGTTCCAAGTCAAAAATTGAAGAACCAAAAAATCGAAAAATCTAAAATATAAAAAATCCAAAAAAAAAACGAAAAAACCAATGAAAAAATTCTATAATATAAAATTTGAAAATTTTTAATTGAAAGCTTGAAAAAATGGAAACCAAAAATTCGTAAGATTGAAAAATTACGAAATAAACATCGAAAGACTAAAAAATTAAAAATGGAAAAGATAATTATTGCAAAATCGAAAACTGAGGAAACAAAAAGTTAAAAAATCAAAAAATAGAAACGAAAAGTCCGAAAAATTGTAATTAAAAATTGAACGAAACAAAATTTGTATCGAAAAATGGAGAAACTCAAAAATCGAAAAGGACATTTGAAAGTGAAAACCAGAAAAAAAGCAAATCTAAAAAATTTAAGGAAGCAGGAACTGAGAAGTTGAGAAATAGAAAAGTCTAAAACTCGGAGAAATCAAAAATATAAAATCAAAAAACTTAAAACTTGGAAAATTTAAACTAAAAATTCGAGATTGAAAAATCGAAAAAACGAAAAAAATACCTAAAAACTGTAAATTGAAAAATTATATAGTTTAAAATACGAACAATTTTAAATTGAAAACTCGAAAAATTGCAAAACAAAATCGTTAAGTTCGAAAATCTACGGAATAAAAATTGAAAGACTAAAAAATCGAATCACATCTAATTTGAAAATCGGAAAAATTCTAAAATTCAAAATCGGAAAATGAAAAATCGAAAACTGAAGAAACGAAAGCTAAAAAATCTAAAAATTCATTTTGAAAAATCGAAAAATTCAAACATTTTAAATTCAAAAGTAGAAAAATTGTAATGTAAATATTGAAAAATCTAAAAATAAAAAATCCAGAAACCCAAAAATCGAAAAAAGCATTGGAGAATTTAAAAGTTGATAAATCGAAAAATTGAGGAAATGAAATATCAAAAAAATTAAAAATTGAAACATCGAAAAACTGGAAAATTTAATTAAAATTTGAAGAATTTAAAAACTGAAGAAACGAAAAGTAACATTTTTTCTATTTTTAAATTCAATGAAAAATTCAAAAATCTGAAATTGAATTCTTCAAAAATGACAAAGCAAAACGTTGAGGAAACGAAAAATTAAAACTTGAAAAGTTCGAAAACTGAAAATTTTAACTTAGAAATTAGAATTTGGAAAATTGAAACAAAAAACTTGAGGATCGAAAAATTAAATATCGAAAAACTCAAGAAATGAAAAATCAAATAAAAATTTTTACTTGAGTAACCGAAAAATTTGAAATTGAAACTACAAAAATTGGAAATCGAAACAAAAACATTAAAAAATTGAAAATTTGGAAAATTTAAGTAAACTCAAAAAATTTTAGAAACAAAAAATTGAAGAACAACCATAAGATTGAAAAATCGAAAAAATTAAAAATCAAGGCAGTGAAAAATCGAAAAATCGAAAAAAGTACCTAAAAACTCTGTAAAATAGAAAACTTAGATAACCGTAAATTTAATTTGAAAAATTTTAAATTGAAAACTCGAAAAATTACAAAACAGAAAAGCGTCAAGTTCGAAAAACTACGAAATAAAAATTGAAAGACTAAACAATCGAATCACATCTAATTTGAAAATAGGAAAAATTGAAAAATTCAAAATCGGAAAAGTGAAAAATCGAAAACTGAGGAAACCAAAGCTGAAAAATCGAAAAAGTGAAAAATTCATTTTAAAAAATCGAAAAATTGAAACATTTTAAATTCAAAAGTAGAAAAATTGTAATGAAAAAATTGAAAATACAAAATATTGAAAAATCTAACATTTAAAAATCCAGAAACCCAAAAATCGAAGAAAGCATTGGAGAATTCAAAACTTGAGGAAATGAAAAATCAAAAAAATTAAAAATTGAAACATCTGAAAAGTGGAAAGATTTAAGACACAAAAAACTGAAACTTAAAAAATTGAGAAACAAAAAATCTATTCAAAGACGAAAAATTTAAAAATCTGACATTGAATTCTTCAAAAATGGCAAATCAAAGCGTTGAGGAAACGAAAAATTTAAAAATTCAAAAGTTCAAAACGGAAAATTTTAACTTAGAAAAATTAGCAAAAAATTGCAATTTGAAAAACTGAAGAAACAAAAAACTAAAGGAGCGAAAAATTAAATATCAAAAAACTGAAGAAATGGAAAATTAAATAAAAAGTTTAACTTGAATAACTGAAAAATTTGAAATAGAGAACTAGTAAACATAAGAAATCAAAAATTGAAAATCTGAAAAATCCAAGAATTGAAAAAACAAAAATTTGAAAGTTTGAAAAATCTAAAAATTGAAGAAACGAAAAATTAAAAAATTGAAAAATCAGAATTTGAAATTGGAAGCTATAAAAATTGCAAATCGAAACAAAAAAATTAAAAATTTGAAACATTGGAAAATTTAAGTAAACTAAATTTAGAATAAAAAAATTGAAGAACAACCATAACATTGAAAAACCTAAAAAAAATAAACACAAAAAAATAAAAATCAAAACAGTGGAAAAACGAAAAAAATATGTAAAAACTGTAAAATGGAAAACTTAGATAACTTAAAATGTGAAAAATTTTAAATTGAAAACTCGAAAAATTACAAAACAGAAAAGCGGCAAGTCAGAAAAACTACGAAATAAAAATTGAAAGACAAAAAAATCGAATCACATCTAATTTGAAAATCGGTAAAATTGAAAATTTCAAAATCGGCAAACTGAAAAATCGAAAACTGAAGAAACCAAAGCTAAAAAATCGAAAAATTGAAACATTTTAAAATCAAAAGTAGAAAATAGTAATGAAAAAATGAAGAAACATAATATTGAAAAATTGAAAAATTAAAGAACGAGAACTCAAAAAATTGAAAAATTCAAAAGTTGAAAAATCTAAACATTTTGAAAACTAGAAAAATTACAAATCCAGAAAGCTGAAGAAAGCAGAAACTGAGACAAACATATAAAACAAAAATTAAAAAATCGAAAAATCGGAAAAGTGGAAATTTAAACTTGAAATCTCGAAAAATTGAAAGAACAGACAACTGAAGCTTGAAAAAATTGAAAAATCTAAGAATTGAGAAACGAAAAATCAAAAAGTTTTACATTCAAAATTTGAACAAACAAAAAGTAATGTTTCTTCAATTTTTAAATTCAAAATGGAAAAATTTTAACTTAAAAATTAGAAAAAAATTGCAATTTGAAAAACTGAAGAAACAAAAACCTAGAGGATCGAAACATTAAATACCGAAGAACTGAAGAAATGGAAAATTAAATAAAAATTTTAACTCGAATAACCGAAAAATTTGGAATAGAAAACCAAAAAAATTGAAAATCGAAACAAAAAATTAAAAAATCGAAAATTTGAGGAAGTTAAATATTGGAGAAACGAAAAGTAAATAAATAAAAAAATTTAAGGGTTCAAAAATCAAAATATTTTAAGTTCAAATCTCGAAATTGAAGATCAAAAATTCAGAAGTTAAAAACTGAAAAATTTGAAAATTAGAAAAATTGCAAAATCGAAAAACTGAAAAAACGAAAAATTAAAAAATCAAAAACTTGAAGTTGAAAAATCGAAAAAAAAATTTAAATTGAGAACTAGAAAAAAAGGCAAATTAAAAAATTAAAGAAAGCAGAAACTCAGAGGTCAAAAAATCGAAACCAATGAATTAAAAGTTAAAAAATCGAACAAATGAGGAAACAAAAACCTGAAAGTTCGATAACTTGAAAAATCAAAAAATTGGAAAATTTAAACTTGAAAACTTGAAAACTGGAAAAATTTAAAGAGAACCTGAAAGTCGAGAAATTGAAAAAATGAAAGTTTTTAGAACTGGAAAAATTGTAAACTGAGACAAAAAATAAATAAAAAAATGAAAGTTGAAAAATCAAAATATTTTAAGTAAAAAGAACAAAAACCGAAAACTGAATCAACAAGAAACTGGAATATCTAAAAATAGATTTTTTTGTGTTTGTCTACGACGTCCAATTCCTGTGGAGCTTGTTTTTCTGAAGATGCTCCGATATCTAAATATCGAAAAAATTATATTATCGTGCTTGCATTTTTTGGAGTTTCAACACACCCGGTTATGGGCGCATTACGGACGGCCTACATATTAAACAGCATCAGTTTCGCGTACGCTTAGAGGCAAGATTCGAGTCTGCCCGTAATTATCACGGAAACAGCGACTATAAAAAATAAAAAAATTCAATATATTTCAGATCACGAAACTCTAAAATAATTTTCATCGCTCGAATTATCGCCCACAAAAAGAAACCTGACCGATCTTCGATCATTACCGGCGTCTCATCGCCAGCTAATTAGCCTCCTTTCGGCCGGCCCACCCCACCCAGCGTCCCACCAATTAGTCGCAATTAAAAAATCAAACTCGGCGGAAATTGAAACACCTTCATCACCTGAAAAAAGCCGGCCCGACACGTCTTCTCCGTCTCCCAATTAGCTCCCAATCAAAATGCAAATTCGTCGATTAATTATCGGCCCCGTTTCAGGCGACCTCGTCCAGAACCAGCGCGTCGCCACCAAGGAGGACTACATCTACATCCCGCTCAAGGACCCGTCGCCGCCGGCCAGCGCCGCCAAGCCGCCCCTGCCCAGGGCGCCGCCGCGCGTCGTCGGCGCAAGCGTGAAGGGCGCGCACCACCGAACCCACGATCAGGACCACCGCCGCCGCCGGACTATTGATTCGGGAGAGTGCCCCCGGCCGATGGAGCCCATGGGGCTTATCGAGACAGACCTAGACACCCAAGTGACGGTCATCACCAGCGGTGCGAACAATGTGAAGACGCGCAGCCTCCTTAACCTGGGGGCCGAGCCCAGACTCGGCCACCTCCTCGCCGACGACAGGCAGACCGAGCAGACGGCCAGGCCGCACAAGTCGATGGAGTTCCTGCTGGACAAGCAGAATCTCAAAGTTGTTGAGGTATTTTTTTTTTTTTATTTATGTATATGTAGTGTTTGGGGTTACGTCATTCATTCTCATTGCTCTCGTGGGGCGGTTTGGCGTGGCGGAAGCGTGACGGCGCGCTGCACAGGTGTCCCAAAATGAAGAGTTTGGTATAGGTTTAGTGCGTGTGTGGTGCGGAGAAACGTCGAAACTGCTGCTTATTGCTGAATAATGCAGAATCATCGTAAGTTTGATGTACGTTTGGTGCTAGGTTGAATGAGATGCGGCACTTTCGTAAATGGCTTTCACTTTTTTACACATTTTGGGTTTTCACTTTTAAGCCCAGTTTCAACGATTTCTGAAGAGCTTATTATTCAGACCGCGTTTTACTACTAGTATTTGACGTTGTATTTTTTTAAGGTAACTATTTTTTTTAACAAAATTGTTTAAAAAATAATTACACAAATTTGGCACAAAAACGAAAAAAGTCGACGAAAGTCAACGAATTTTGAGTTGCATAACCTAAAAGTTGAAGTCTTATAGACTTCGAGCAGCAATTTTTCCAAAATTCATTAATTAAAAATAACAGTTTTCGAAATATTAAAAACAAAAATCATTTTCAAAACGAATTTTACCGATTTTTTCGAAAATCTTGGCCCGGGACTATGAACACATCAAGTATTTGGAATCAGTGTGTCGAAATATGTTCTTCTGAATTTTCTGAGGTTTTTAAAGCGAAAATAGAATTAATTTTTTGACCGTTTTTCGAAAAAACTTTGAAAATTACCGAAAGACATATTGTTACAGATTTCGATTTGTAGAAGTTACTTTCGGTTTAATTTCATCAAAAGTAACAATTTCCCAGAAATCAGCTCGTCGAAATGTGTATTTCTGATTTTTTTTTAGGATTTCTAGACTTCAAAAATCTCAGTTATCAATGAAATTAGAATTTTTGGATAATTTTTCGACCACCTTTCGAATATTATCGAAAGACATTTTCTTGTAGACTTCGAGTAGAAGTTCTGTTCGCCTTCATCTCTTTGAAAATCCAATAGTTTTTCCAAAATAACAGTTTTCGGGTTATTAAAAAAAAATCATTTCCAAAACGAATTTTACCGATTTTTCCGAAAATCTTGATCTGGGACCGTGAACACGTCAAGTATTTGGAATCAGTTTGTTGGAATGTCTTTTTCTGAATTTTTTGAAGTTTTTTAGGCGTGTTTTCAAAACTCGAATAGATTTTTCGAAAAAACTTTGAAAATTACCGAAAGACATTTTGTTACAGATGTCGATTTGTAGAAGTTATTTTCGGTTTAATTTCATCGAAAGTAACAATTTCCCAGAATCGCTAAAATATAAAATGACGTTTAAAAAAAAAACAGACATAATTTGATCGAATTTTTCGAAAATCTTGGTTCCGGACTTTCAGCACGCTTTTGGAATCAATTCGTCTAAATGTATTTTCCAGAATTTTTTGAGGATTTTTTTAAGCAACTTTTCAAAAATCTGAATTTTTGACTATTTTTCGAGCACATTTCAGAAATTACCGAAAGATATTTTCTTGTATATTTCAACTTGTAGAAGTTATTTTCGGATTCATTTCTTTGGAAATTCCAGCAATACTTCCAAAATCAATCCATAAAATGGAAAATGACGATTTTCGAAATTAAAAAAAAATCATTTTCAATCTGAACTTTACGGAATTTTGCGAAAATTTTGCCCCGGGACTATCAAAATGTTATGTTTTTGAAATCAGCTCGTCGAAATGTGTATTTCTGATTTTTTTTAGGATTTCTAGACTTCAAAAATCTGTTATCAATGAAATTAGAATTTTTGGATAATTTTTCGACCACCCTTCGAATATTATCGAAAGACATTTTCTTGTAAACTTCGAGTAGTAGAAGTTCTGTTCGCCTTCATCTCTTTGAAAATCCAATAGTTTTTCCAAAATAACAGTTTTCGGGATATTTAAAAAAAAAATCGTTCCCAAAACGAATTTTACCGATTTTTCCGAAAATCTTGATCCGGGACCGTGAACACGTCAAGTATTTGGAATCAGTTTGTCGGAATGTGTTTTTCTGAATTATTTAAAGTTTTTTAGGCGTCTTTTCAAAACTCGAATAGATTTTTCGAAAAAACTTTGAAAATTATCGAAAGACATTTTGTTACAGATGTCGATTTGTAGAAGTTATTTTCGGTTTAATTTCATCGAAAGTGACAATTTCCCAGAATCGCTAAAATGTAAAATGGCGTTTAAAAAAAAAATCAGACATAATTTGATCGAATTTTTCGAAAATCTTGGTTCCGGACTTTCAGCACGCTTTTGGAATCAACTCGTCTAAATGTATTTTCCAGAATTTTGTGAGGATTTTTTTAAGCAACTTTTCAAAAATCTGAATTTTTGACTATTTTTCGAGCACATTTCAGAAATTACCGAAAGATATTTTCTTGTATATTTCAACTTGTAGAAGTTATTTTCGGATTCATTTCTTTGAAAATTCCAGCAATGTTTCCAAAATCAATCCATAAAATGGACAATGAAGATTTTCGAAATTTAAAAAAAATCAGTTTCAATCTGAACTGTACCGAATTTTGCGAAAATCTTGGTGCGGTATCATTAATAGGTTATGTTTTTCGACTAGTTCGTCAAAATATATATTTTTTCTGAAAATGTTTTGTCAACTTTTCAAAACTCGATTTTTCAATGCAAACTTTTGACTATTTTTTGAGCACCCGTCAAAAATGACCCAAAATTACATTTTCTTGTGGATTCTGACATGTGGAAGTTATTTTCGGCTTCAAGACACTGAAAAATCGAAAAACTGTAAAGTCGAAAATTTGTATAACCAAAAATTTGAAAAATTTTAAATTGAAAACTCGAAAACTGTAGAAACGAAAATTAAAAAAATTAAATCATTTTGAAAAATCGAGACATGAAACGTCTTGAATTTTCCATTTTCGCCTCTTCAATATTTCGATATTTCAATTTTTCGATTTCTCTTTTCTCTGTTTCATTTTCTCGATTTTAATTACTTGGTTTTTAAATTTTTCGTTTCTTCAATTTTTTTGAATTTTTAATTTTCCCTTTCGTTCAATTTTACAATTTTTGTAGTTTTCCAAAAACGAAAAACTCTAGTCAATAGAATGTAATCTAAAATTTGGAAAGTTTTCATTTTAAACTTGAAAAATTGTAAATTAAAAAATCGTAAGATCGAAAAATTAGGCAATAAAAATCAAAAGACCAAAAAGTCATAAAATGAAATACATTTCGAAAATCGGGAGAATCAAGAAATTGGGGAATCGAAAAAGAAACAAAAAGTTTAAAAATCGAAAAATTGAAACGAACAGTAGAAAAATTGTAATAAAAAAATCGGGAAACCCAAAAATCGAAAAGCATGATTGAACAACTCAAAAATTGAATCCAAATCCACAAAGTTGAAGAAACCAGAAACTGGGAGGTCGATAAATGGAAAAGTCTAAAATTTGAAGAAATAAAAAATTTAAAATATAACAAAACAAATCGGAAAATTGGAAAATTTAAACTACAAACTCGAAAAATTGTAGAAACAAAAAATTGAAAACAACCATAAGATTGAAAAATCGAAAAAATCAAAAAAATTCAAAATCAAGACAGTGAAAAATCTAAAAGACGAAAAACTGTACATCGAAAAATTGAATAATCTAAGATATGAAAAATTTTAAATCGAAAACCCGAAAAATTCCAAATCAAAAAGCTACGCGATTAAAATAGAAAGACTAAAAAATTGAAAAATGGAATGCACCTGATTGAAAAACCCGAAAATTGAAAACCGGAAAATTAAAAAATACATTTTGAAAAATCGAAAAGTTGAAACATTTTAGATTCAAAATTGTAAAGATAAAAACTGCAGAAACGAAAAATTAAAAGTCGAGAAACAAAAAATTTCAAGAGTTGAAAAATCTAAAAATTCAAAATTTGAAAAATTTTGGGTTTTTCGAACACCCTTCAAAAATTACCGAGAGACATTTTCTTCTAGTTTCGACTTGTAGAAGTTATTTTCGACTTCATTTGTTCGAAAGTTACAACAATTTTTCCAGAATCGAAAAAATGACAATTTCGACATGTTTAAAAAAATTAATTTTCAGAATTTAAAACTTAATTTGATCTAATTTTTCGAAAATCTTGGCTGTGAACCATCAACACATGTTTTTGGAATCAACTCGTGGAAAAGTATTGTCCAAAATTCTTTGAGGATTTTTCGGCAACTTCAAAAATCTCTGTTTTCAATGAAATTACGAATTTTTTGGAAGTTGTTCAAGCGTCCTTCGAAAATTACACAAGTACATTTCGACTTGTAGAAGTTATTTTTGAGTTTGATTCGAAAATTCCAACAATTTTTCAAAAAAAGATAAAAGAAAAAATGACAATTTGCGAAATATGGGTATATTAAAAAATATATTTCCAAATTAAATTTTAACGAATTTTTTGAAAATGTTGATCCAAGACCTTCAAGGCGTTTTTTAACCCAGCTTTGTCCAAATGCAAAGATTTCTTCGAAGATTTTTTGGCAATTTTTCAAAAACCTCAATTTTTCGGTATGGATTTTTGACTTTCGAGAACCCTTCAAAAATTAGCTAAAACATTTTCTTGTGGATTTCGAGTCGTAGAAGTTATTTTCGGTTCCATTTCTTCGAAAATTTCAACAACTTCTCTAGAATCGATATAAGGGGAAATGACAATTTTCGAGATAAATATTTTGATTTTCTAGTTTCATTGAAAAAATACTGAAAAACCTTTTCTCGCAAGTTTATACTTGTACAAGTTGTTTTCACCTTCGACTCTTCGCAAATTCCAATAATTTCTCCAAAAGCGATAAAATAAAAAATGACTACATATTTCCTTTTTTCAAAAATCTTAGTTTTTCAGTGCAATTATGATTTTTTGACAATTTTTCAAGCAACATTTGAAAATTACCGAAAGCAATTTTCTGGTAGATTTCGACTTCTAGAAGTTATTTTCAGTTTCATTTCCTCGACAATTTCGACAATTTTCCAGA